CATCATCATCAACTTCAACGTCAACTACAACATCAACTTCAACAACAGCGTCAACAACAAGTGGTAAGTGTGGAGTTAAATATTTAATGCTTACGTCAGATGTTGTAAAGAGAAATAGTTTCACGAGATTTAAAAATGTAGTGTTTGGTACTTCTAATCATCTCAAACCTGAATAAATAAGACGAGTTTATTGGATAGAAAACTTCTGAAGATGGAAAAATGATCTTTTTACACAGGCAAGCTAGTATGTGTATACGAAGCTGAAGACAATATGAATTACTATTTGCTCAATCGATTATGTAAATATCTGACAGTTCATTATGTTGTTGTTCTTTTTCAATACATAAGAATATGTACCCTAACGTGCAAAGTACGTTTTGAGAATGATTGTTATTGTAACTAGAGCAACTGAAGGTACTAGCTGGTGTTTTATAACTTCTCGTGATTTTCTAAACTCGACTGTTTTATCTTTCTCTATACATCGACTAAACTAAGAAGTCGACCTGTAAACTGATAAGCAACACTTTGTCAGGCTACGAAAGACTTTATTATGCTTTTATCGGTGCTATGTATTGGTTGTGGGTGTTAGAGTAAGGTTAATGTAATAATCACACTCACACCCTAAAGAGCCATAGAATAGAGAAAACGATTATTCCAGTTAGACTTTAGAGTATAGAAAATCATTCGAAAACGACTATACGTTTCTGTACATCGCCTTAGTGCTAATGGAGGTAATTTGATGCAAATTATATACAATTTAACGATGATTTTTTGTCGCTAGATAATTCAAAATAGTAAAAATAATTTTTGTTTTTGATAGCCTGCAACTCTTTTCATAATCAAGTTACTTATCCAGCTGGCTCTAATCCATACACGGTAGCTGTCGTCGATATGAATAGCGACAACAAACCTGATATTATTGTTGCAAATTCTGCTTCAGATACTGTTGGCATTCTTCTTAACGCAGGCAACGGCAACTTCAATGCTCAAACTACTTATAACGTCGGCTCTAGTCCACGAGCACTAGCAATCGTCGATGTGAGTGGCGATAGTAAACCTGATATTATTGTTGCAAACTATGGATCGAACTACGTCAATGTTTTTTTCAACACAGGCAGTGGCACCTTTAGTGGAACGACATACTCAGTCGGCGCAGATCCATCGTCAGTATCATATGTCGATGTGAATAGCGATAACCAACCTGATATTATTCTTGCATACTATGGTTCGAACAGCGTTGGTGTTCTTCTCAACACAGGTGCTGGTTACTGGAATAGTGGAACTACATACTCAGTTGGCGCAGATCCATCGTCAGTATTAGTTGTTGATGTGAATAGCGATAACAAACCTGATATTATTGTTGCAAACTATGGATCGAATAACGTCGATGTTCTTCTTAACACGGGGAGTGGCGCTTTTAATGCTCAAGCTACTTATTTAGTCGGCACTAACCCAGTATCACTAGCGGTCGTCGATGTGAATAGCGATAATGAACCTGATATTATTGTTGCCAACTATGGTTCGAACAACGTCGGTGTT